ACACGACTCTAATTCTCGAAAGGCGACAACCGAAGATCTCCCCTCGACTCAACTCTCGAAACGTGACAACTAAACACTTCCACTGCCCGGGAGGATGGCACGCGGCTCGCGACTCCGCGGCTCCACACGGCGGCCATTACGCCGGTCTATTTTCACGATGCGAGCTTGCTTACGTGCGATCCACCCGGCAACGTACCCCGGTCGGCAGCGTTACACGCGCAACTCTCGTCTCACCCTCGACGTCCTGGTCCTCGCGTGTCCTCACGACATTCTCTTTCCCACAGCTCTCGGCAATCCGGCTCTCAAGTTCGCGTTCCCTGTCGGCAGCGTCCTCGTACTTCTCTTATATCTCCTAGGCTCGGCCACAGTAAGAGTGAGTCCCGGGGGATTCTCGCAGGCTGCTTAGCTTCTCCCCTCCTTCGGGGGGAGCTAGTCACGCTGATTGGCTTCCGCGTGTCACAGTATCCGCGCGTGCCGTGCAGGCCCGCACGGCCTTGAGTCCTGGCTCGTACAAGCGCACAATAGATGTCCCCGTCAAAGGTGGCGTCTCCGCTTACGGCCCCCGCACCTCCTGGCCTGGCGTGGGAGATCGGGATGGATTTTCCTCTCGCTCCTCATCGGGGCCCTATGCTCCCGACGGACGTCCGTCCGACCCCTCAAGGGTGGCCGGGAATTCTGGCCTCCTCCGGTGCTCTGCAAGGAGTGCATGGTGAAAGTATGATTCCTTTCGTATGCGACAGCGGTTACGAGCAATGATATAAAATAATACAACCTGCTTGTCCGGGCTCCCGGATGTGCGTTCTTCTCTCTCAGTTTCTTCGATCTTCCTTCCAAAGGTGGCGGGTTAGACGGCACGATGATACAATATTATTTTACAGCAGCTGCCGAGCGTTATCCGTGGCGCGTCCACGCTTTCTGATAAACTCGGTTATTACGGAAAAGGAATGCTAACACAACAAGAGAAAAATTTGTAGAGTAAAATAGATGACGCGGTTTTAACGCTCGTTCGCTGGTGCGCTCGCACGCGCGCTCGCGTGCGCACTCGCCTGCGCGTTCGCCCTTCGAGCCGATAGGAAGCACGAGACCTCCGCCGACAAGTCTGCACAGTGACGGACAAAATGTCACGTCACAGTGCATCCTCGATATATCGAAAACATGTTTGTACGAATTTCATCACGAGCACATGGCACCGCTGTTTCGTGAAAAATATAAAATTATGGGGGTGATCCCGATTGATCACGGCTCGATTGGACACCACCAATCACAGCGACCAGGTGCTTAGGAGCTTTGTCGTCTCAAGCGCTGTGAGTGGCTCGTGTCCAATTGAGCCGTGTCCAACAGGGTGCTACCCGAAATTATGTACACCGACACAGATAGCCTCATATACCATATAGAATGTGATGATGTGTACGAGACTATAAAACGCGATATTGCTAGATTTGACACAAGCGATTACAAGGTTGATAACGTGTACGGTATTCCCCTCGCAAATAAAAAAGTTCCTGGCCTTATGAAAGATGAAAACAACGGTGCCATTATGACCGAATTCGTAGGGCTTAGAGCGAAAATGTACGCCTCGCGTGTTGAAGGAAATAAGGATACGAAGAAGGCGAAGGGTATCAAGAACAACGTAGCGAAATTTATAACGTTCGATGATTACAAGCAGTGCTTGAATGATGCAATCGAAATGACGCGTAGACAGTCATGCATAAGATCAAAATTGCACGAGGTGTACACCATATCGGAAACAAAAATCGCTCTAAGTCCGCACGATGATAAGCGGTATATCATGCCAGATTCCACCGACACGCTGCCATGGGGACATTACCGCTGTAAATAAAACACAGTTGTATTGTATAATATGTTTAATATATATATATATAGATATATATAACATGTATAATATGTATAATATGTATAATATGTAGATATAATATGTATACTATGTATAATATAATACGTATAATGCGTAACGACGTTATAATATGTATAATACGTATTTATATTGTATTTTGTATAATATGTAAGTGATATTTATAGTATATATAATACATATTTATATATACATATATATTTTGTATAATTAATTTAAGTTTTACAACACATTGTCTTTATGTATCTACGAATTGTGCGAATTGTCAAATCCCAACCATTTTACGTAAACCTCGTTCCCCCTCTTGAGCAACATCTTTTCGACGAGATGCACGTCGTGATTAGCGACGATGTGCAATTCGTATTCGTAGATTTCTCCTGCGATAGGCTCTTCGCGAAAATCTCGCAATAGATACGTCACTGGATTAGTTTGCTGCACTTTGATAATTTTAAACATCTCCGTGGTCCAATTCGGTGTGTAACGTTTATCAAAGACTGTCTTGAATTTTCTCACGCGTACCGAATCGCCCACTTTATATCGGGCAGGTGTAGCAATCTTTACGCGATTGTAAACCGTGGTTAAGAGTCTGTCGGCGATCGCAGGGGTAACGTCGACGAGACGCATACCGATAGTTCGATGCTTGCGCGCGTTGTAATTTGATACGAGTCGCGGCAGGATATCAATCCATTTATAATTTTCGTTGTGCGTAAATTGTTTTCACATGTCGTTCTTCAACGTACGGTTGAACCGTTCGACGACTGACGCCTTCATTACGGAATACGTAGAATAATGTTTGATGTTGTGCTTCTTCAAGAGTTTCTGCACATCCGAGTTGTAAAACTCCTTTCCTTTGTCGGTCTGCAAATTTTTCGGACATCTTTTATCGTCTCGAATTATCTTTACGATCGTAATCGTCACATCATTTCCACTCTTGGCTTTAAGCGGCACGGCCCATGCGTGCTTACTCAGCACGTCGATAACGGTGAGAATGTAGTGGTAACCTCTGTTGAATTGTGTATATGGACGCATCTCGATCACATCCGCCTGCCACAGGTGGTCGTATCCATGTACTATGACGTGTCTTCGCGGAAAATTTCTTCTCGCCGGAGCGTGCAATTCATTAACCAGCAGACGTTTCTCAGACATTGCGAATAATTATTCGGCACGATGCACTTTTCGAATCGTCTTTTCAAATTCTTTTAGCAAAACCTGCACATTATTTTGTAAGGCTGCAATCTTCCTCTCGATTTCGTTCAGACGATCTTTCAAATCTTGAACATTCTGCTGCACGTATCGCTTGTTTGCTGCGTCAGCATCATATACCGGTAGCGCTACTCGTCGAATTTTGCGCGACTTTGCGTCAAAGTCGGCTCCGACTATGCAAAAAGCGTTATCGCGCATGTAATTTCTGAGCAATCCACGCCACTGATAGTACGATTCGCTTCCTCCTTCTCCAAGTGATAATCCAAACTTGTTGATCGACATTGCAATGTCGACTGAACGATGTGCGTAGAACGAGGTCAATTTATAATCAGACCGGCTTCGCGAAGCTCTTCGATAATCGACAGAATCTCGTTGTTGTGACCATTGTGACCAGCCTGGCGCGAGGCCTCGAGCAACCGCAGACGATTCACAATTTCGTTGGGATCGTCCCAATGAATATATTTAATCTTGTTATCGTTTAGTGTCATCGTACGCGGTAAATCCATTCTTTTGTTTATTCCCGTTCCAACTTTTTTACCCGACACCAATGGCGCTGTTATGTTCTTATACTTGTATCCCCTACTACCCATTACTTGATTTTTCGGGCTATGACCGCGCCGGTGAGCGTTTGTCGTCAGCAGAATATTTCTGTAGGTCTGTACGTCATCATCCGTACATATACTTTCGTTTGGGAAATTTCATGAAAATTAACTCGTACAGGCCCACTGTTTCATCGTATCTTTTCCCATCTATAATTATATCATCGTTTTTGTGCAAAGTGATACGTTTGTCAACAAGTATCGTTCCCTCGTCGCTGAAATAAATTCCATACACGACGTCTATGTAGACAGCTTTTCTTACCGCTCAGGACCTCTTTCAGATATTTCTGTCCCAACGGGCCATAGTTTGTTTGCAGCTTTTCCTCAGATGTTTGAAGCAGGTGCCGAATAGATGTCACGAGTGGTTCATTGGTAACCTCGAAAATTTCTTCGCCGTAGGGAATATGGTTGTACGATAAATCGGGCGGATGTGGTATTTCAGAAATTTCGTTCAAAGCGGATGGTACGGTTTTCGATCGACTCAACACTGATTTTACAGGCGTGGAAGCCTGTATAGGATTGTCGTACAGAGCACTCGGTCGTTTCCTTTTGGGTTTTGGTTCCTCGTCTTCCCCCGAAAAGATTGTTTCGATCATGATAGGATCCTTGGAGGAGTCAGCGGTGTTTTCGACAATTTGTTTCAGCGGGTCGATAATAGATTTGAAGTGTCTCTCCAAAGCGATGTCTTCCTCCATTTTACCAGTCTTCAAAGCGCGGTACTTTTTGCGAATCGAATCTCTCGTTTTCGCAATCTACCTTCTCATGATCTTTGCTGTTGTCTACGTCAATGTATCGATGTCGACTGATCGCATCACGGTATTGCAAAGTCATTAAATTCTTTTCTGTATCGTCCATCGGTAAGCGTACTGTCCTTGTCAATTACTAGAAATCCATACTTTTGCTGCTAATATTTACGACATAAATCGCAGAAATTCTCGTACGGCATGTCGGTATTCACGTGATCGTTGTACACGCGTTTCAGATTGGTACCATCCTGATTGAACAGGATCAACAGATTTGTATTGTCGCGGATAAGGTGCTTTGGTATCTTTGCGTACGTCTGACAGAGATAGAAGCAATCGACGTCCGCGTGCCGTCCCATTGCAAAGTACTCTCTCATCGTGTCCTGCTTGTCGCATACCACGTCATCAAAGATAAAGATGGAATTCGGAAGCGCCTCGCTTGGTGGAATGACGTCGCTGTTATTGGAGAACGTAAATTAGCCAATTTCTTCGATAGGAGCTAGCAGATTCGCCAGGTATCGATATTTCGGCTGTTGCAGCGATTTCGAGTACACGTACACGTTCTCGAATCGTACACCGTTCGGACTTTCCAATAGGCTTATCAACACGTTCGTCTTGCCGCAATTTGACGGTCCGCAGACGATTGCGCGTATAGAGGCCGGTAGCATGTTGCCATGCTTGCGCGTCTCTTTATCGGTTTGTACTTTGCCGTCGAGATTCGTCACTTTAATCATCCGCGATTGGCGCACGACCCGCATATTTCCTCCTTCCACAAAATACTGAAAACGATATCGCGAGCGGGCCTATTTATAGAGCTGCGTAGAGCGAAATCGCTCAGTAATTAAAATGTTTCCCGTCGTGTCAGACGATCTGCACAGTTTAACTTCAAAAGAGCTGGAATTTATACCGAAAATTGTACTGCTTCGACAGTTTGAATACTGCATAGATCTGTTGTGGGACAGATTACCCGAGCATATACGAGCAGATTCGGAGATAGAGCGATACCATCGATGTCTGAAGCATTACAATTTGCCGACTCATCAAACGCATATCGACGGTCCGGCGCCTTTCATAAAGAATTGTAGCGAATGCCGTCGAGAGGCTTACTAAATTGTGCGATAAACGCTCTTCCCTTCGAACTACATATTGCCGAATATCAGTTTTGGGGTCCGGGAACGCGATTGGAGAAGCTATTGGCCAGAGGCGATCGAGGTATTAATCCATTGGATGCTGCGTGTCGCGAGCACGACATAGCGTATTTGCTCAGCAACGATCTCACCGAACGACACGCGGCTGACAGTATACTTGCTGAGAAGGCGCGGAAACGCATTATTTCGAGTGATTCGACTCTCAGAGAGAGAACCGCAGCCACAACCGTTTGGGCAGCTATGAAGGCCAAAACGAAGATTGGTATGGGCTTGAAAACAAAGAAGAAGAAAAGGAGCAAGTGGATTCTTCCGACAGCAAGGTAGTGCGGTGGCGTACTACCCGTTCTACCGCTGCTCGGCGTTCTCGGGTCAATGGTCGGCGGGGCGGCGGGAGTCGCCAAGGCCGTAAACGATAGCAAAGCAGCGCAGCGTCAACTGGAAGAACTGCAACGTCATAATCGCGTCATGGAAGGTCGCGGCGTTTATCTCGCTCCCTACAAGAGCGGACGAGGTGTCGCGCGTAGAAAAAAAAAACGTCGATGAAACGTTAAAAATGCCGAGGGGAGTAACTACCGATG